AGTGCTTCAAGTGCATAACTCCATACTATGATTGGTGGAGTATAAACGTGGGAAGCAAATTGTGCTTGCCTAACAATTCTACTATCACGTTCAAAGAAAGCCCATTTGTTTTCAACACCAATTATTGGTGTAGATCTAATAGCTGCACATGTGACAATTTCCATTTCATGAGTGAATAGATGTTGTTTGATTCCCGCAAGTGTTTCACTGTATTTTGGCTCCAAATTCATTTTTACACCTGGTATACCTTCCTTCTTGAGAGCGTTCTGTAGAATAGGTACTTTGCTGACTCCAGTTAACGGCAAGTAGATAGTTAAAACTTCACCAACATGAATTATTTCTCCTCCTTTGTTGAACCATACTGTTATAGTGTTAGGCAAACTTCTTTCTTTCAGCTGTTTATTCACTTCCAGCCAGTCATTTATATTTCCTTCCTGAATTTGGTTCAACCAACACGGCAAATAAAGTATTTTGCCAGATGGTATCCATAGCGTGTGGGTACTGACTTGTTGTGCGTTGAAAAATTCAACACCGGATAATAAAATAAGAAACAGATATATCTCTGACAGTTTCATGGGAAATGTAAATTCGTAGAGTGATGTATTGATTTATTTGAATGTAATCAACTTGTGATAATCAATAATCGATAGGAATATAAGTGTATTAAACTATTCTTTAATTATTCTAGTGTAAACTATATATAGTTTTAGCATTAGTTATTCCGCTTTGCAACCATACATTTATGTCTTCATTGTTATAAAATGTTGTTACCTCACTATCAAACACTTTTTCGGATACTAATTCAAAATTAGATTTCGGTGTCGCTTATATTGTTGACTATAAAGGCATCACTTTTAGTTATGTCGATAAGAACATTGCACCAGAGCCACCACATGTCATTAGCGAAGTATGTAGCACAATTAAGCATATCACAAAGTTTATGAAGTGGACTTGGGCAGTTGGATACCGTTTTTAATGTAAACTTTACGCGATTCCTTGTGTGTTGAATAATCTATCTTTTCATTTTTAGTTAGTTAAGACGTAGTTTTAGACATAGATAGCTAGTTCGGACTCCGATCTAAATATTCGTTTTGGTTGGTTCAATAATATTTTCACCCGAAATACACACAATAATCGTTTTGTTGTAAGCCTAGTCCATGAACCTCCATATTTTATTGCATTATTTAAAGCCTTAACATTCACTTTTTAATTATCAGAGGGGGTTTTGTGGAGATTTAGTATTTTTCATAGTTTTAAAGCATGAGTCAATTGAAGCTAGACCACCATGGAAAACCTGGAAACACTGGACGGCCGTTTCGTCCTATTATGGGACTCCTCAGCAGTGCGCATCCACGAACCCGCTCGCGCGAGATTCGAACCCAGGACCTACCAGCTTCGAGCCGAAGCCCTTAACCGATAGACCACTGAGCTGGCATCCAACGGTGTTAATGTCTAACTTCAACTGATCCACGAAGTTGAGCAACCATTCACCAATTGTCTTCAGTGAGTTCCTATCTCACAACAGACGTGGTTTTGAACTCCACTGGTCACTGCTTCTCACTAGAGCTCCTAGTTATACTTCTCGAAGTCACTGGTGAGCATATGATTATATTAATTATCAGAGGGGGTTTTGTGGAGATTTAGTATTTTTCATAGTTTTAAAGCATGAGTCAATTGAAGCTAGACCACCATGGAAAACCTGGAAACACTGGACGGCCGTTTCGTCCTATTATGGGACTCCTCAGCAGTGCGCATCCACGAACCCGCTCGCGCGAGATTCGAACCCAGGACCTACCAGCTTCGAGCCGAAGCCCTTAACCGATAGACCACTGAGCTGGCATCCAACGGTGTTAATGTCTAACTTCAACTGATCCACGAAGTTGAGCAACTCATGCTTTAAAACTATGAAAAATACTAAATCTCCACAAAACCCCCTCTGATAATTAATATAATCATATGCTCACCAGTGACTTCGAGAAGTATAACTAGGAGCTCTAGTGAGAAGCAGTGACCAGTGGAGTTCAAAACCACGTCTGTTGTGAGATAGGAACTCACTGAAGACAATTGGTGAATGGTTGCTCAACTTCGTGGATCAGTTGAAGTTAGACATTAACACCGTTGGATGCCAGCTCAGTGGTCTATCGGTTAAGGGCTTCGGCTCGAAGCTGGTAGGTCCTGGGTTCGAATCTCGCGCGAGCGGGTTCGTGGATGCGCACTGCTGAGGAGTCCCATAATAGGACGAAACGGCCGTCCAGTGTTTCCAGGTTTTCCATGGTGGTCTAGCTTCAATTGACTCATGCTTTAAAACTATTCACTTTTTAGTTTATTCAGTAAACACTATGATTTTTTATCCCTACAAATAATTCTTTCTATTTCATTAACATTTTATTTAGATTTCACAAAAATTTCATGATAACAACAATTACTGGTCAAACAAGTTAGAAAATATTGATAAACTAAAAGATTCCAGTCGAGATACTGTACAAAACGTAGAACATCAAGCACACACAATTAGAACAAATACAAATACTGACCGAAAAGTGAAACCCACCCGTCTTAGTGATTCCAACACTGGTGTTAATTACAATAATGGACGGAGTAAATTAACAAAGCTAGAACCAACAGACTACCATGTGAAATCTGGTGACAAATTCGTTAAAATCACAAATATGTCTAAAATTAATCCAATCCCAATTAAACACATATCAACGTATCGCAGTTCAAGAATAAAATAATAAAAATGTTAAGTCTTATCTTTCCATTTTCTGGTGAATCGAGGGGAAAGCATTAAGGTTATCCATCCAGTAAGCACAACTTTCTGTACGCAGGTGTAAGCTACACTACTTTTGTTACGGTTAGTAATATGAACCGACCGAGGTTAGGACGTGCAACCCACTATTTTGAAAATTGATGGCTCTAACGACTACTCTAATGCTAATGGTGTGGATATTTAAATTTCATTAGGAGAATTAGTAAGAATGTTTGGCATAATGGAATGATTAGGATCTTCTCTTAAACAACAATTTAGTACTAATCATGGGATCACAAAGTTAATTCAAAACGTATTTTTTTTAGTGTCACTTTCCATATCTATTTAAGCATACCGAAATAATAGTAAGCAGGTAAATTTTACCCTACAGTTTTACAAAACTAACTCAAGCAATCATAGTTTGTTATGTGATGACACATTTTCTCCTTTCTTCAGTAACCTACGCAGCATCTACTGTTATTGATTTGTACAACCAGTGAGCTGTGATTCCTCAAGGTTTGAAGATGGATATATTCGATCACATTAGATATAAGAGACTAATTCATACTGGGGAACAATTCTGCTGAACCTATACCTTTGTGTTAACATGTTCTTGTTGGTATCGATATCGTGTTCTCAATAAACGGTTGAACTTGTATGACTATGATGTAACCGCGTAAAACTCATGTTAAAACAGTTACCAAACAGAAGCAATTAGGCTGCTGAAAGACGCAGCCGTACAATCATTTATGACCTGTTTTTTAGAAGTGTAATCAGTTTTTTTTAATTTTATTTAAACACATAAATATTGGTACAAGGAAGCACCAGATACATATGCGCCATACAAATCTCATCCGATTTGCTTGAGGGCTGTGATACTGCCCAGGTGCCCAGACTGAAGCAGGTGGTTTTTTTAGGGGCCCGCACCCGGAGCCTTTGACCGAAAGGTCTGATCCACAAGGCAGTGGAGCATCCTGAGGAGATGCAGTCCCATGGTAGCCGTTGACCAACAATAGGTTCATTCGCCATTCGTTCCATGAGCCCATGTGAACCATTGGTTTGGAATCAGGGTTTTCCAACTCCCCTAGGTGGACCCTCCATGTCCACCAGCCCGGTTAAAGCGCCGGACATTCGCTCTTCGTCCTCTCACTTTCGTAAACAACACCCCCACCACGAGAAGGCAGTGAGTAGGACTTCCCTGGTAGAGGCTATATATTCGCTGGCCATGTGAGAGCATTTCGAGAGGGAGAGTGGGCTCTCCCCACTCTCGGCCATACCAGGGCATTTGGGGGCAGTGTAATCAGTACTCAAGTACGAGTGACGACTACACTTATTACATATTAACGTTGGACGGAAAGAAACAAGTACTTGAAAACCATTAGATTAGATGTTACTTTTGAACATTAAAAACTGGATAATTATATCCGTGGTTATATATGGATAATATATTGTTAGCGGGACATGGATTGGATTAAAGCGTGTTTCATGCATGATGGTGTTGCTGCACGTTGATTGGCTAATTCTTATCTAATCAGCTCTAGTCGTTGCTTGGAGAAGACTCTAGAAGCTTCTCATGTAAAATCTATAAATATACTAACGTATTTCTTATTGCGCTTCCTACTTCCTCTATTCCTGTTATTTGGAATATAATTTCTTCCCTGTTCAACCGTGTTCTGATTTGGAGACTTGTCGAGTGTATTGGTGTTCAAGAATAGTAAGCAATAGGAATAGCTGGGTCGTAATAAGGAATATTATTATTTAAACACATAAATATTGGTACAAAAAGCACCAGATAAATATGCACCTCACAAATCTCATTTGATTTGTGTGAGGGCTGAGATACTGCCCAGGTGCCCAGACTGAAGCAGGTGGTTTTCTTAGGGGGTCACACCCGGAGCCTTTGACCTGAAGGTCTAGACCACAAGGCAGTGGAGCATCGTGAGGAGATGCAGTCCCATGGTAGCCGTTGACCAACAATAGGTTCATACGCCTTTCGTTCCATGAGGATCCTGGAGCCCATGTGAACCATTGGTTTGGAATCAGGGTTTTCCAACTCCCCTAGGTGGACCCTCCATGTCCACCAGCCCGGTTAAAGCGCCGGACATTCGCTCTTCGTCCTCTCACTTTCGTAAACAACACCCCCACCACGAGAAGGCAGTGAGTAGGACTTCCCTGGCAGAGGCTATATATTCGCTGGCCGTGTGAGAGCATTTCGAGAGGGAGAGCGGACTCTCCCCACTCTCGGCCGTACCAGGGCATTTGGGGGCAATAAGGAATAGATATTAATAGTTATAACATATATGATTATTCTATCCTATTTAGCGGGATGGGAATTACATTTCAAAGAAAATCTAAACGTCGAATACTTAATTAATAGAAACACGACTGTCTAAATAGAGGTTGTACTCCCATCCTGAAAAAACTAATCATTACGATAAAAATGGACTTCTTGTTTTGTAAAATACGTTTCTAATTACGGATAAAAAAAGATCACTATAGAGTTGATTTACTTATTTTTTCCTTGCATTTTGTACAAGTTGCAAAACGAAAAAAGTGAAATTGTATCTACCTTATTCGTGAAAAGAAATAAAAAAGAGGTTTGACATAAAAATTAGTGGCATTTTACATATGTATCAAGGATTAACGTTCACTTCAATGTTTGAGAAATGAGATCAAATACAGACTGATTTTTCATCAAGTCACGTTCAGCATTCTCAATTAGTATTTGCCATAATCGTCCTATAAAAAGTGAAATTAATAAATTATTAATTGTGATAACGAAAGAGAATATTGATGAGGAAAAGTACTTTTATACTAAGATAATAATCGTAAACATAACAGTCTGAAAGTGCTACCATAATATGGGGATGATCCCATTAAAATAGGACTTGACTTTCGAGTTTTGCACAAAATTCAAAAATGAATGATATTCATCACTTACTACATGTGAATTTTAGTAGAAATGCCTTTATATAGTACTATGTTTTAATTTCACTCTAAATAACAATGTCTGTACAATTAATTCTCCAAATCCATAGTACGATACATGATATCTCTACATATTTTATACAAGTGTATCAATCCCTAGTGATGGTGACACTACAGTATATATCCACAATATTTCCCATAAAAATCTAAATTAAGATATATTTTCATATACTCAATTTGACATTGATTATGAACTGATCCATATGCAAAATATGGAATGAAATCCAGAGTAAAACGTAGTTTTTGAATTTAATCATTATCAGTATTATTTCACTAGAAGCAAGAGACTACACAGGCACTAAACATCTATGGAATAGTTGCATCTCAAAACTTCATTAAGGTAAACTTTAGTATACAACAAACTAAAAAATGAACGAGAGAACTGTTCAAAAGTTGTAACTTTATATTAGGATTTAGATAGTGACCACCCAACCAGATAAAGACAGTTGTTTAAATTAAAAAAGAAAATGCACTTAAGCACCCTAGTTTGTACACTGTAGAGTACTTCATTTAGAAAATTTAAGAAACTTTATTTCTGCCTATGTAAATCTTAATAAATGTTCGTCTACATTTTTCAAATCAATTGTCGTCACGAAAGAGATTGACCTCGCGACAGATTTAAAATTGAATGACAAAGGATAACCTTTGGTTAGTTACATACTTATTTGATTGATGTAATCGGTACAACTATGAGGGATATGTATATGTTGTGGAACTTTAATAATTATCCGTTTCTGAAAATGGACAAGGATAGAAATGAACTCAACATGAATTGTCCCTAGTCTGAATAACTAATCAATGAAGAAATACTATATGGATTATAATGAAAATAATAATTATTTATTTACATGATCGCTTTTAGTGGTAGTCATAGAAAAAATTAAACTGGTGGATAAATAAGAGGTATGTGAATAACTTTATTTCACTATAGATTTTCACGAAGATATTCAATTAGAATTGCTTCGATATCACCATCTACATTAACGAGAATCTATTTAGTAGTTCATTTAAAAAATTCCGCCTTACCCACAGTTACTTTTTCAGAAGAAAGCAACGTATACATTGCATAAATTCTATCACAAAACTCTTTATCACCAAAAGTAAAATATGCCAGTGACTTTTTAGCTTGGAGGCATGCCATCATTTGAAGTATACCTGAAACGTTTAACACACGATGGAGAAAATAGTTTAAGGTGGAGAGTAGTTTATCAAAAAATTCACAGTTACCTAAATCATATATATAAAAGAATGTTTTTCACATCTTTGAGTATAAGGTGCGTTTTATGAAAACTTACAGCTCAGTAAATGAGAATAGCTCCATGGTAAGCAGTTAGCAATCTAAGGTAAATACATTAACTAAAAAGATTAGGGTTAAGGGACTACGCAGTTGTTTCATAAAGAATTCGATACAAATGACATCCATAAAATTTCAGAGAAACTTAACTTGAAAGTGTAAAAGAATGTTTTACGTACATTTCAATTCTATATCACCTCTAAAAGCACCACATCCCCAATTCCCAGTAGCTACAACTGGAGGTAGTTTTCTTTCAGGGAATAACTCGTCGGTAAATCCACAATATGCCTGTAAACGTGAAATAACGAAGTGAATACAAAGGAACAGAACTATATAAAGTTTTCTATTGTCTAAGAAAAATTTGTGCTAGATATGGGGGAATAAATGAAAAAGGTACACATTTTAATGCATATTTCATTAAATAAGTGGTTTTTGGTATTTTTAATAATTCGCCAAACGATGAAAAGTGAAATAAAAAATAGACAACACCTAAGTTAATTACATCAGTTTTTCGAAAAATAGATTAGAATTTTATTTAAACCACAAAAAGTTACTAGTACAACAATGGTGTATCAAATAATCAAATAGTTAGTATATACTAATCTATACAAGCCAATTATCAGATGATAGGTGATGGTGTACTATTAAACCCTTTTATGGAGAAAAGTAAATAGATTGCTCTAAAATCAAATAGACTACGTTCTTTAGGTAAGCAATGTAATTACAAGTACAGAAATATTATCCAACCGAGATTATTATAAAATAAAATATACTTTAAATAAAATGATAAAATCATAATATTACCTTATTTAATTCTCTAAGCATTTCCTCGACATTGTACTGTTCCATAGGATTACTGTACTTAGTAGCATCCATTGCTACTACTGCATAATTCCATCTCCCCCACTTATCGCTAGTAGAAATCAAAAGGAACTATGCTTATAGTATTAATAAGAGATATTGGTGAATAAACTATTATTCAAAAGAAGTGAGCTGAGCAAGTACACTTTTGTAATTACAGTTTTCTGTCTAATAATATAAGCTAGACAGAAAAGAAATGTAACTACATTGCAGGTCAGTATGTTGGGAAATTGTGTCAATAACAGTGAAAATCACATATCCATTAAGACTATTAGATAGTTTTTTCTTCTATCATATTATGGGACTTCTCACCATCACTAAAAACTTTTAAGCTGTGCTGAAGGCACTTTAATTTTTGGATAAATTAATCATATACAAAGAATGAATAATCACGCATGTCGTATTAGGGTAACCAAAGGGTTTTAAGTGAAAGTACAACTTACCAAAATGGTAAGTAATTCGTGTAACAATCCAAGTAGATTGAATGTGAGGACATTAACTAATCGGCCAAATCGTATAAACCCCAATGTGTTTACCCAGAACAAGTGAACTTGAATCGTTTGAAAATGTGGAACAAAATAAATATGATTCAATGGTGGTCTAGCTTAGATCGATTCATGAATTCAAGTATTAAAATTACTACAATCTCCACAAATCCCCATTCAGATAATGACTCAAAGGTGTTTTACAAATGATTATCGTAACTAAATAATGAATAGTCATCGAACGTCTAGAGAATCTAAGATCCTAAACTGAATTTCAGAGGGTTCAGGAATGCTCAGTTAGTGGATGCTAGGGTAAACTAAATGTTTGTCATCTACAGAAGCTTAGGGAAATCTAACTATAAGTTAATAATTGTATCTTACCAAGGACACTACTTTTTATATTCTTTTTGAAGACACGTATGCTGAAGTTATTTGTCAGTGAACGTTTAGTGATTATAACAGTTAATCTTCCAAACCTTACATTTTTAATTAACGGCCGGATGTAGAGACAAAAGCTAACGTTGTTTGATTGTCAAACTCTTAAACTGAAAGACCAAAATATGTTTTAGGAATCTAATAACAAACATTTTTATGGTAACCCACTTACTAACAGTGTATGAAGACGGGAAATAATCCGACGGATATCTTATATTCTTAATAACTCCCAAGTATCACATCCGGTTGATCAGTATTATGAATGTATGTGAAACTTACCGTTTCATCCCACTATCCGAATGATTAAAATCTCCAGTCCAACAGAAATCATCAGCATAGCCAGAACCTACGGAATACTGTTCAGCACCTTCAATAATAAGTGTTTCATCAAACCCCAGACGCTCAACAAATAAGCAACTGACCAACAATTCTGGTCGTAAAGCAAACATAATTTCTTCTTGTACACATCCACTATTTAAAACACCACCACCAAGATAACTGTTAGCGAAATCAACCTACAACATTTGGACATTTGTAAAGTTATTAATATCTTGAATATAAATCTTTGAAAAGCAGTGCCAAATAGATGGATATTAAAAATAACATTATTATAATACAAAAGATATGAGCAATAGTCGTTTGGACAGCAGTGAACTTATGTGTTAGTAATCGTAAAGAAATCTGTACTGATGCATATGGTCAGATCAAATGATTTGATTATATTGAACAGAAAATAAGTATTAGTAATTGTAAGTGAAGGATACGAGATGGGAACAGAGTCGGTAACTTTTTATGATATCAACAACGTTTTACTCAACAGAAACTTGTCCGAACACCTGTACACTAACACCTCACTTATTGCTACAGTAATCATTTTCCTCCAAAATTAAGGGAACCAAATCCAATAAATGGCAGGGATAGGAATTATAACACGACTTTTACACAAAGATGTACGACTACATAACTGGAAACATTTCTCTGTTGTATCAGTTATTTGATACAAATAACTATATTTCATTCAGTTAGACGGATAAATTATGGATCAATGTTATAATTGTGTTTTGCTATATAAACGACCCAGCTATTCCTATTGCTCAGTATTCTTATACGATGGCACTCAACAAGACCCCAAAATCAGAACACTTTGAACAGGAATCAAATTGTATTCACAAATAATAATGGTATGTGAACAGAAATCACGAGTTTTTAATAACGTTCATATATTTATAGTATATACATAAGAAGCTTCTAGATTTTTCTCCAATAATATGCCCCGGCTGATCGGTTTAGAATTAGCCAATCAGCGGTCATGTAAATCGGCCTAGAGTATTCAAGACTTAATCTCTACTCGAAATATTCTATCTATACTAATTATTAATGACCATAGCATGTATTCATTAATTTGTGTGGTGAATACGGTTCACATTATTATTTTACAAAGAAATCTTAGTCATCTGAATGATTTATTTAGAGAATCTAAGATCCTAAACTGAATTTCAGAGGGTTCAGGAATGCTCAGTTAGTGGATGCTAGGGTAAACTAAATGTTTGTCATCTACAGAAGCTTAGGGAAATCTAACTATAATAATTATGCCCTAGCGCTAAGAAGACCCATAAGGATTGAACTGGAGGACCAGAAATCCAAATGTAAATTCCAGGAACAACTGAGTTCACATCTAGGCAGTTCTGTAAACGATACTGACCCAGATGCTGCTTGGAAAGACATACGAACAGCTGTGGAAATAGCAGTCACATCTATTAGTAACTTAAACCATAGGGTTCCAAAAAACCAATGGATTTCTTCCAAGTCTATTTCACTGATGGATTCGCGTAAATTCATCCCATCAGGCTCTGAACATGACGAAGAGCGTAAACAAGTCAAATGTAGGTTGACTAAAAGTCTAAGGAACGATCGTGAGCAGTGGTGGGCAACGAAAGCAAAAGAGATGGAAAAGGTAGCGGCTGTAGGCAACACCAGGCAACTATTCAGACTAATAAAAGAAACCGGAATTAAGAAGTCAAGTGTAAAAGAAACGATCTCGGAAAAAAACGGAACCCTTATCTGCTCTCAGCCCAGACGTTTAGAACGATGAGCAGAACACTTTAAGGAGCAGTTCAGCTGGCCTTCAGCTACTGCACAACTACCCACTATTCCCAGACAACCTGAATGGAACATTGAAGTAGGTCCCCCGACCCTACCTGACGTTCAAAAGGCTATAACTAATCTGAAACGAGGAAGAGCAGCTGGTCCAGATGGATTGGCTCCAGAGGTCTTTAAATATGGTGGCCCAATTTTAGCGATTAGGTTGACTAATATTTTGGCTTAAATCTGAGAGTTGGACGTAATCCCATCTGAATGGTCACAATCACTGATTGTCCCAATATATAAGAAGGGGTCCAAATCATCCTGCGATAACCATAGAGGGATTAGTCTGACTAACATAGCATCTAAAATACTAGACTCAATAATTGTCGGGCGCCTAACTAAGACTCGTGAACTGAAAACACGAGAAAATCAGGCTGGCTTCAGACGTGGTCGTGGTTGCATCGACCACATATTCCCTATTCGTCAGGTCTTAGAGCACAGACATGTTTATCGGCGTCCAACAATGATAGTTTTTCTTGACTTGAAAGCAGCATTTGACTCTGTAGACCGAGAGGTTCTGTGGCAGTGTGTCATTGAAAAGTGTACCTGAGAAGTACATAAACCTTGTGAAGGCTCTTTACTCGAACACTACCAGTCGAGTGAGAGCTTATGGAGAACTGTCATCTGATTTTACAACCTCAGACGGTGTCCGTCAAGGCTGTCCATTATCCCCATTTTTGTTTAACTTCATTATAGACCTATTGCTGGAAATAACACTCGTCGACTGAATTTTCAGGAATTGATCTCCTACCAGGGGCTCCATTAAGCGACTCAGGATACGCAGATGATATAGTCCTGTTTGGTGAAGACGCTGGCAAAATGCAGTCTTCTGTAATAATGCCAGGATGTTTGGGATACGTTTCTCCCCATCTAAATGTAAATTGTTACTCCAGGACTGGCTTGCGTCAACGCTTGAACTAAGGATAGGGAGCGAAGTAGTCGAACGCGTCAACAACTTCACCGATCTTGGAGGTCTGATCAGCCCTAATGGGTTGGTGTCTGACAAAATCTCAGCACGGATTCAAAAAGCTCGTTTGGCTTTTACCAACTTACGTCACCTATGGCGAAGACGAGATATCCGTTTATCAATTAAGGGACGAGTATACTGCACAGCAGTCCGTTCTGTTTTACTTTAAGGCTGTGAAACATGGCCATTAAAAGTAGAAGATAGTCGTAAGTTACTAGTATTTGACCACAGATGCCTTAAAAATATTGCTCACATCTGCTGGGATCACCGGGTAAGTAATAGTGAGGTTCGACGCATGGTATTAGGAAATGATGGTAAATCAGTTGATGAGGTGATGAATCTTCATCGACCGAGATGGTTAGGCCACGTGTCACATAAGCCTGAACACCGATTACCACGACGCGCTATGCTGACTAGTGTAGGGGATGGGTGGAAAAGAGTTAGGGGTGGCCAAACCAAAACGTGGCATCAGTGCTTGAAGTCACTAACTTCTAGTCTGAGCCATGTTGGCAGATGCAGACTACCTGGTTAGGGTTCGCGTGACTATCATAATAAATGGTTGGAGACTCTAGGTGACATGGCTCAGAATCGATCACAATGGTGTAGGTGTATACACTCTTTATCTTCCCTTAAACCTTGAGATTAAAATTGCTTCATAACGCTCTTCCTTCCTATACTATATCCTTGTATACAACCTATCTTTTATATAATACCACCACTAAATTAACTATTTCTATGAATCCGGTGTTCATCTTGTTGTACTAACGAGATATGGCAACTTGGACCGATGCATATGTATGCTTAGTCCTACGTTGTAGCTGACTGAGTACGGTCGAGGGTGAGGAGGGTCAGCTCTGCATGCTTCAGTTTGGTCATCCGAGCAGTATTCCAGCCCACACACAAGCCAAATGATGATAACTACTAAAAAATATTACTCTTATTTTAACTCTCCCTCAAATCATATTCACAATCATTTGATAACATTCGTCTTTATTTCTTTTATACCACGTACTTATCTACTTCTTTTTATCCTTATTTTTTGCATACGGTAGAAACCCTTTCTTATCCAAACGATCTCAGGTCACTGACTGGTCGAAAGTTAAATGCCACCGCCGACTACGAATACTAAAACAGTCTTTCTGAAACCCCGTTTATCATTTAAACTGGCCTCATTCAACGTTCGCATATTAGTGTAAATAGAATAACAGACACGGTTGTCTATGTCTTTACAAAGTCTCGACATCGATGTCTGTTGTCTATCCGAGACCCGTATTGAATACTTTGGTGAAGTACTACAAATTCGCTCTCCATCTGTCATTTCGAAAAGCTTGTTTCACGTGCGTTTATCTGGAGACCGTGTGGCATTTTCGTCTGGTTTTGCTGGCGCTGACGTAACACTAAGCTCTAGAGCCGAAGAAACACTATTCGATTGGATCCCCCTTTCTGGTCAGTTTTGTGTTGTTAGATTAAAAGGCTCCATTAAAGTGCGAAGTTGGTGTGAGATGTCTTTTCGTCATTTCCGCCTACGCTCCGATAATTTACAGCCCGGATGAGATCAAGGATGAGTTACCCCACCAGTTAAATGTTCGACAATGCGTTCGACAAATATAGTAGTACTAATTGGAAACTTGAATTCTCAGGTCGGGCGTCTAAGCACAGAAGGGTCGTTTAAGTAGCCAATGAGGACTTGTTGGTCGCAGGTCACATAACTGTGATCATCTATTGAAACTGTGCTCAAACCACAACCTGTTTCTGGCTAGCACTAACAACCGGAACAGTCGTCGCAGAAGTGTTACCCCGCGTCCTCCCTCAGCATCTCGAGCCTGAACTTCGACTTATCACATCGCGATTACTTACGGCTGGCGTGATTGTGTACAAGACTGCCAATCCTTTTGGAGTACCTATCTAGACTTTGGTCATGCCCTTGTTTGTGTTAAACTTACCTTACATTTCAGTGGCCAACAAACTCATCGCTCCAAATGGGTCGATGTCAGCAAATTGGTTGCAGATTCTGTTGCACCTAAATATCAAACCAAGCTGGGTTCAAGGCTAGATGTCAGCTCACCGTAAAGTGTAGATGAACATTGGCTACATATGCATGACGCCATGAAAATGGTGAGTAAAATCTCTGGCGGCCTCGCGAAATATCCCGCTTCTAAGTACTGAGTTTCAACAGGTTTCCTACAACCCGTCGACGCACATCGGTCTATTTCGGGTGACCGCGAGTTTAACCATAAGGAACGACTGTTACGTAATGAAATTGGGCTAAGATTGAGTAGGGACCGAAAAGCCTGATGGTTGGAGTGTTAACGAGTTAGAAACAGCAGATGCTCCCAGTAACTATCGGAAGCTCATTCAACTTAGTCGAGTCAATGGCACTAAAACGTCTGGTGTGAATGAAAAAATCTGTGAAGATGACAGGATGCCAATCAGTAAAATCTACTGACGTCCTGGACGATGGGCAAAGTTTTCCGGAAAGCGGCTTACACCAATCTGGACCATCTTCGGCGCCTTCGTGATGTTAGTCTGGCTAAAAAAGTAGGAGCTACAACGCATCGGTGAGAGCAGTTTGGCTGTATGCTTATGAGACATGTTCTCTCCGAGTTGAGGATGTTAGACGACTCCCTGTGTTTGGTCATTGTTGTTTCCGAAGGATTACTGACATCCAGTGGCAACACCATGTTAGCAATGCAGAAGTCTGGCATCGTGTGTTCGGGCACAGCAACGATACTTCTATTGGTGTCACTATCTTGAAACATCGACTTCGGTGGCTTGAACATGTCTTACGAATGTCCTCCCAGCGAAATCCACGTCGTGCATTGTTTGCCGACGCTGGGACTGGTTGGAAAAAGCGGAGAGGTGGTCAGTGCATATAGGATATGGTGTCGTGATATGGAAGAAGGATGTACAGGACTGGCTTCTGTTGGTCCTTCACGGATTACTGGTTGGGGTCATAGAGATGGTGCAACATAGTGACTAGAAATGTTATCAGATAATGCTCAGAATGGAAGCCAGTGGCGAACCTGCTGTAACTCTTTTACTTTCTTCATGAAAGTGAATGTAACCTCTCGAACTGAAAGAATTCTTTCTAGTTGTATTTTTCCTAACCGAACTGTTTCTCCTGTTATAACTATTACTTTGCTCTCATACACTGATTTATGTTTATCGTTGTTTTTACTTTTTTATTATACGCACTTAGCATTCTCTATTTCTTCACAACCTCATTGTTATTGTGTGGCGCATATGTATTTGGTGCACCCTTGTACCAACGTTTATGTGCTCAAACAATTAAATAAATAAAAACTTAGTTGATGAGGCAAATTGGTGGAAACAACCACGTATGATGAAACAGAAACTCTAGTGACAAAACGGAAACACGATATTTACTTCATAGAAATTGAACAGGTTAGGAGTTTAGTACATTATCAGTCCTATACAAAGACGCTTGATTTCGGCGCCATTTAGATATCTGTATTGAAATTCACAAGTCACAAACATAGATTTTATATAAACAACGGCTGCAAGATGATTGTATTAAAAAAATACACAGTGATCAATCTAAGTGGCAGTTAGTCAGTCACAACGTAGAACTTTATACGTACCGGTTTCCTTGGTAAATCTGAATAGTTGTCTGCTGTTGCCTATTGCCGCTGCCTTTTCCATCACTCATACTTTCGCTACCCACCACTGTTCACGATCATTGCGTAGGCTTCTTATTAGCCTTCGCTTAAGCTGATTCCGCTCTTCGTTATGTTCAGAGCCAGATGGGATGAGTTTCCGAGCATCTATCAGTGCGGTAGATGCTGCCGAGATCCATTGTTTCTCCCTAACCTTATGGCTTACCTTACTAGTGGATATCACTGCTGTTTCCACAGCTTTTCGGATGCCATTCCACGCTGCTTCGGGGTGGGCACAACTTACACGTCTGTCTAACTGGTTTTCCAGTTGTTCCTGAAATATATTCTTAGCTTGCTTATCATTAAGTAGAACCCTTAGAGGCTTCCCTGCAGTGTCTTTCCTAAGTCCAGTAACACGCAGACAGATACGTGCTCGCACTAGAGCATGATCTGAGTCTAAACATGTGCTCCAGAATGAGCGACAGTCTTCTATCGAGCCCCTCCATCGGTGGCTGATAGCGTTGTGATCTAATTGGGTCCAACGTTGGGACGAATTCGGGGGTCGCCATGTCAAAAGATGTTTTTCCTTATGCTTAAAGTTAGTATTTGCAAGAAATAGGCAGTTATCTGAGCACAGCTGCAACAGACGGTCGCCATTATCTGTTCTTTTAGCCACCACACCATAAGATCCACCCAGGTGTCTTTCCCTTTCGCTTAGTTTACCTACTTGAGCATTAAAGTCACCAGCCACTATTACTTCATCAGAGCGCCTAGCTTTTCGGAAAAGGTTGGAAAGCTTTTTGTAAACTCATCTTTTACATCATCTGAACTGCAGTCAGTGGGAGAGTAGGCAGAGATGACGAAGAGACAACGACGAGTGTTCCTATTTTTCCGAGTCCTTACTGTTCCGTTTAATCGGAAAGCACACAAGTGGCCGTCTACTGGGATCCAGTCTAAGAGAGCTAGTTCTGCCTTAGGACTCAATGCTATACCTATGCCAGCGAGGCCACGGGAAGCAGCATCAGGGCTTCCAGATACAAGAAGAGTGAATCAAGTTGGTTCTTTATTTTGACATGGTGAGGTCAAATGAATGAAGCTACTCAGATCTTGTATGCGCGTTTCAGAGACGCAGCAGACATCGATGGCGCGAGACTCTAAAGTCCGAAATAAGAAAGCCTGTTGTCCTATTCGGCAGTGTTCGGACGTTAGAAGCTCCTACACGTAATTCAGATTGTGGTTTTAGGAGATCAGGAATACCGTTCCGCGTACTCGAATCGTTTGCCCTAGCGGTGCGAAGTGATAAAAGGAAGTGAGAGTGGTTAGTCGTGGAGATAAGAGAGATATTAGGTGTAGGAAGGATTTGAATGTGACCAACTTGATCTTGTGTTTTTACGAGTATGATGGCTGATCTCACTTCCCGGTTGCCCACACCGTGGAAGGGTATTTCTTGAGGAACCTGAAAAAAAGGTAGATTATTGTTGGTCTTAACGATCTGAGAGCGTGACCGCAGAGCCCAAGGGACAACTGCTTGAGGTCGATTGCGCACGGCCTTTCGGTGAGAGGTTTTTGACGTGTTAGCTCTGTTCTTCAAAGGGCCTTACCGCCGGAGACGGGAATCCGTGAGGTGTGACATTTTTAGGGTCGACCTTTTCTAACCAGCAGCATCGCTGTAGCTGCTAAGTGTCCGAGGGAAACACCTTACTGATGTCACACCCCTCTACAGTATGCAGTAAGACTTCGCCCTCAGACCTTGAGCTGCTGTTTTTAGTCTTACCGTTCTCTAATCGATCTGCCTGGGATGGTAGGACCTACAGGAACTTATGTTCCAGTCAATATAGCCCGGTTGGGTCATCACGATAGGCAAACCCGACCACTACGTCAAGGTAGCAACTACGGTAAGGATCTAAGTGGCAACATAAGATACATCGCATAAAAAACTGTACAAGATTACACTCAATACAAAATAGATTTAATAAACGACATAACAAACTTGTAAGGTGTTTGGACCAGCATCAGTAATTGATCCTGTGGCATTGACATGTAAACGCAACTGGTCAAATGTTAACTTGCTCCTCGACCAATCTGGTGCCAAATTACCTAGACAGCGTCTTGTAAATGTAACTGATCCCGTAGGGAACTTTTGAAGAACACGATGGAAATAGTGTAAGATGCAACGTAGCTTCTCAATTTTGACATGAAGTATCCTAAAATTAAACCACAATATGATCGAAAGTAGTATTCAGTATTGTTATGAACTCTTATTACAGTTCAGTCATTCATTACTTAGTATTCTTTGGACACTTCACTAGACAAGTCCTCAAATCAGAACACGAACACGAAAGTAATTACATCTCAAATAAACAAGGTCGAATGGAAGTAGGGATAACAATAAGAAAAACGTTAGTATATATATATATATATATATATATATATATATATATATATTTCACACGAAGACTTCAAGGTCTTTTCCAAGTATTCGCTAGTGTACTACAAGTAGTATAATGATAACCAACAAGAATATAGTTACAAAAATGAAAGCAATCAAGGGACTTTGTAGTGTCCTATTTTAGGTTTTCTATAAGCATCGTAAATTCAGTTAGATTTTCTTATAAAATAGCATTGAGAACTGAATTTCTATTATAGCTTGCTAATTACTTTCGTGACTTTCAACTGGTCTCATGAAAAGCAGATACAGTAAATGGTGAAGATGACCCAGAATTTAGTATAATGGATAAACTCACCGGCTTGTATTATATTTACTGTCGGATTTCGCTGATAGTAAGTGAGAGAAATTGATTTGAGGGAAATTAACATATTCTGCATCTTGACTGTGACAATTACGTCTAGGAAATGTACAAAACAAAGCATTTGCCAAAAGACTGGCTATCTGGAGTTGACTTAAAGTAAGTGAGCATTCTTTTCGACATGACAGTAAAGGAATAGGCTAAAGTGAAGAAGTAGAAATGATAATCAAACAACGTCAAATAAATAGTGAGAACTACTGACAAAAAGACAAAAGCATGAAAACAACAGCTCCGCCGTGAGAAGGCAGTGAGCAGAACCCTCCCTGGAAGTGGCTGTATACGTGTGGCCATGTGAGCATTTCAAGAGGGAGAGCGGACTCTCCCCACCCTCAGCAGTACAAGGGCACTAGAGAGCAAAACTGGGAATCAGCCGCATCTCGTTTTTCCCCAGCTTGAACGTGCTAATAGATTTGAAGGTCAAAAAAAAGCAAGCACATGACCTACACTTGGGATTTCTAACCGAAAATTTACCCGAGTACTTCAAACGTGAACGGTTAGTAGTGAATACACTAAGAAATACATGAAATATTGACTCAATGAAAAGGGGATTCGCCAAGCCTTAGAAAAGTAAGAGAATAGTTCAAAACTTTTTAACATGCTGATATTGCGATATCCGAAACCAGTGTTGTATCTGACTATGGTAAGTGCTGGGTCTTGAACCGGAGCATGATCACACCAAACCCCAAGTTAAATATGTTTACCACATTGACAGTCCTAAAACATGTCAAAACCAGAGATTTCAGTTGAGTGACTAACAACTGGTAGCTGTTATTGCAGAAATAAAACACATCAAACCTCTGTCGGTCAGCTACAACGTAGGGCCAGGCACATATATCCATCGGTCCAAGTTGCCATACTCCATTAGCACAAGATGAACACAAAATTCATAGTAGTTAATTCAATGAACCCCCAAATGCCCTAGTACGGCTGAGAGTGGGGAGAGTCTACTCTCCCTCTCGAAATGCTCTTACATGGCCACGCGTGAACAGCCACTGCCAAGGAAGTCCTACTCACTGCCTTCTTGTGGCGGGGGTGTTGTTCACGAAATTGAGAGGACGAAAAGCGAATGTCCGGCGCTTTAACCTGGTCGGTAGACACGGAGAGTCTACCTAGGGGAGTTGGAAAACCCTGATTCCAAACCAATGGTGCAAATGGGCTCCAGTACCCTGAGGGAACAAATGGCGTATGAGTCAATCGTTGGTCATCGGCTACCATGGGACTGCATCTCATTACGATGCTCCACTACCTTGTGGATCAGATCTTTAAGTCGAAGGCTCCGGGTGTGGCCCCCTAAGAAAACCACCTGCTTCGGTTTGGGCACCCGGAAAGTATCACAGCCCTCACACAAACCAAATGAGATTTGTATGGCGCATATGTATCTGGTGCCCTCTTTTACCAATATTTGTGTTCAAATAAATAAATAATAAAAGTTAATTCAATGGTGATAATATATTAAAAAAGTATTGCATATAAGGATATAGTACAGGAAGAAAGAACCAGTTGGTAGAAATAACGATATAAAGCAATTTTAATCTCACAGTTTAAGGGAAGATAAAGAGTGTATACACCTACGCCATTGTGATAGATTCTGAGCCATGTCACCTAGAGTCTCTGACCATTGGTTACGATAGTCACGCGGACCCCAACCAAGTAGTCTGGATCTACCAACATGCTTAAGACTACAAGTTAATGACTTCAAGCACTGGTGCCGCCTTTGACCAAGACCAAATCTATCTAAGGATATTCCTACAAAATATCAATCAATTTAGTCCCATCTTTTCAGAAAGGAAACTATCAAAGACATTTTAATTTTCAAGAGTAATTGATAAACCATTAAAAAACAGCTAATTACTTTTGTAACAAAAATAGGCAAATTTAGTGCTAACGAGCAAATTCCAGAGAGAGTGTTACCGAAGAAATTATCGTTTCCACCATCGGGGATCAGATTCAGCATACATAATTGTTCTAACGTTTTAAAATTCCAGTAGGATTTGAAACGATAGTTGTAGGAGAGAATAGCTTCCTAGAATAAATTAAGAATGTGACCTAATCATTTCTCTTGTATACCATACAAATAGCAAATCTGACTACGTGAATGACGACATTGTTAAAATTATAATAAACTAATTTTTTACCTTCAACTCGTCAGAAGATTTTATCTTATTTCTCAATGCCTTTTCAATCACAACCCACCTAGAAATAAGGCTATTAGCACCACCCTAAAACATAAGCCCAATGAACAATCTTACATTATAAACTGGATAAACACTTTCAGGAGAACATGGCATACGAACAAACAATCCGTTCCACTTATCCTGGTAGTCGTCAGGATACGGTACAGGTGGCTTTACAGGGTTACTGTCACACTGAAATGTTATCAAGTTAAAAAACAAACAACTTACACGAAAGAACACTTTGTGTGTTCGTGAAGGTTGTAGAGGGGGTAAACATGGTGATGATAAAGTCAGCTCCTCTAAAGGATCTCCCTAGGATAAGCGGCAAAAAAAACAAATTTCAAGAATTTACTTTGAAATAGTGAACACATTTCGACAACTCGATCATCCAAAGAACCTTTGGTCTTGTAGAAATCGGAGAGTTATGACAGGATATCTATGGCTTGAACAAGTATCACTTACTGACGCTGTTGTTAGACGTTATTTAGCCCTGATGTTTTGTGTGCCTGGGGTTATGTAGAGGAGCGTGTGGAAATCTGAATAGAAAGAAGGAGCTTGAGGAGATACGATGGACTTACAACCGATAGACAAAGTACTACTTTGTTTTCCATCCACTTTTTGGAAGAGCCAGATTGTTTTAATGTATTTTCTTCACGTTTAATGGTCCTCAGAAATATAATTTAAGGGAGAACAAATGAGATTTTGGATAACAAACATAGAAATCATTTATCTACGTAGCTAAACCATATGGCTGACGTCAATCCACGATGAGAGCCCTAATATTAGCAGTTATGCCTAACCTTATTCCTCACATTGATTAATAACCATAATTAGACTCTTTTAAATAGTCGTAATATCTCAAGTCTACTTTAATGTCGCTCAAAGTGTAGTCGACTGGAATTGCTGTTGGATTAAATACCCCTGTGTGGTGTATAAATTGTCAGCTCAATTAGCTTCTAATTAGCTGCAACTGCCCAGTTAAAGGTATTGATCAAATCAAATAATCAATCAATAAGCTTCAATCAAAGGTCGCTTCTACCTTACCGTGTCGCTAATGTTACAAAGATCATCCATAATTTATAGTCCCGCCCCATTAGGAATAATCAAGACGGCAACATACACAAATATCCGAAGACAATATGACATAACAGAATATTGCTACCCTGTAAACCAATTTCGGACTTGAGTTTCGTGTATTTGACCATACCTTGCTGATTTCATAGCGCTATGCACAAACAGAAGACGCTGCCAAGTCTTTATGAAAGAGAACTGGGATGAAACCCAGGTGGTATGCCAATACTGCACTTGGAGTGTGGCTATGAACGACTTCCCACACGACGACTTTAGCCCACCACCGGAATTAATGTGTACAGACCATCTATCGATAACTGCGACAAGTATTACTATCTCCATGAAACAAACGGACAGAAAGGATGAAAAAACTGTATACACATACGAAGTGCGCAAAAAAACATTTGTTTTGCTTTATATATATTTTTTTTTCTTAAAGAGCTGTCAACATTTGCTTTTATAATCAATGATCGAAATGAAACTCATTAAAACCCTTCAGAACTACAGTCACAAACAGTCTGGAAACAAACATTTAAACCCACAAACTAAAGGCACGGATTAAAATAATGATGGAAACCCCCACTCTCGTATGCGATTTCGACCTTGTACCTAGCAGTCAACCAAAATGAAGCGGGAATTATTGTTTAAACCGCGGTAGTTCATAATAGATGGCGTCTTTCGGTCTTTGTCGTTTTTGGTGACTTACAGAGAAAGTGTGAAATTTTCTACGCCAAACAAAAAACAATCAAACCAGGCTAATAAAAGTGGTATTTAAATCTTTCAATAAAAAGGACCTAACAATACAATCAGGGGGTTTCGCACTTAAAGACGTACTGCTAGTGGACCGTATGAAAAGACGTGAAGCTGAAAGGGAATTAAAACTAAGGTTATTTGCTGACGAGAAAGACACTAAAATTGTTACTTTTCGGGTGGTGAGGCTCCGACAGATAATGATGACGAAGCCTATTTGGGCGCATCATGAAGCCATTTCTGTAGTTTTCAAATATGTTACGCAAATACCTGTAGCTTGCTCAACAGCCTACCGGATCTAAGTTTACAGACAGACTCTTCCAAGCCAGACATAATCGCTGTCACAGAAACTTGGCTGACTCAGTCTGTAGATGGTAGGGAACTTGGTTTTGAAATTCTCACATTGGTATGTAGCTGTAAATAATTCCCCAAAATCAATAGCTCATTAAGTGTTCGACATTGGATGCTGACCACGTTGTTTAAGTGGACTTATTTAGCTGAAGGCTTTCGGTCATGCATCCGCACCAGATCACGTTTCAATACTGCGTGGGACACAGCTCCTACGTTTCATTAGCCAGCTCATAGAAAAGGTCCTCGATATATTGGTAACGAATCAAATATATCTTTCCTGCCTCTTCTCGTTTCACTTCTGATTTCTATCTGACTGGAAACAACCGAATTTAGAAGGTGCTACTGGTATCTAGTTGTAAAACTAGAATATCCGTTGCATCATCATTGGTGGGCCCGACGTGATCTGGTACACCAAGTCAATATACTGTGAGTCTGTTCCATTTTGGAATATTATTATTTATTGTTATTCTTTATTTGAATTTTATATATTGTGATATAACTTTTTTTTTCTCGGATATATTTTACTTAGACATTTTTCGATATCTATATTACTATGACGGAACACTCTCCTAAGGTTCTTAAGTTAAAGTCTATTCCCCCTATTTCGATTCAGTTAACGCCATTTTGGCCCGACAATATCGAGTCCTGGTTCTGCTACGCAGAAGCCGATTTTTGCATGCACGGAATCACGGACTCGCGCACACGTTTCCTCGCGGTAGTTAAGGCGTTACCGCGCGAGTTTAACAGGTACGTAACACCTAGTATGTTTACTAGTGATGTTTCCGAACCTTACGAATCGCTTAAGCTATCGATTTTAAAACGAGGAGACCTAACTGATCGACAACGGTTAGACCAACTCCTTAACAATATCGACTTGCAACATGGTTCTGCGACGGACATGTTGCTTAGAATGAGAGAAGTCATCGGCCAACGAACTTTCGATGATGGCCTATTTAGACAACTTTTCTTGTCTAAACTCCCTCAACAGGTGCAGGCAGTGCTTGTTTCATTTCAAAACAATGCCATAGATGAACTAGCTGCATCTGCCGATCGAATCTTGGAAATCACTAGATCTTCTAAGGCCGAGGTTTTTTCCGTCAAAGAAAAACCCTAATCGACCTCGACTGACATGGCCGAACTATGTCACACGCTCACACGATATCTTAGAGTTCGCAATGACCGTAGTCGGTCAAAAACCCCGCGTAGAAGTGCCTCACGTAAGCGATCTGGCTCTCGACCACGAGAGACAGACAATCCCGACTGGTGCTGGTATCATAACCAGTACGGTAAGTTTTCCAGAAACTGCAGGAAACCTTGTAATTATCCGACCCCAAAATCGAGTGACACGAAAAACAGTTCGGGAAACTTCCCAGCCGGCACGCGTTAACGGCAACCGTAGCCGGCGAACACAGCCGCCTCTTATATGTCACGGATGTGACTACGAAAGTTCGCTACCTCGTCGACACTGGCGCAGAAGTTAGCGTTCTTCCAGCAAATCTCGATGACAGACTTCGCGAGTCTGTTTTAAGTTTACAGGCGGCAAACGGAAAACCGATCGCTACCTACGGTAAAAGGTACGTCTACCTTAACGTGGGTTTACGTAAACCCATACACTGGATTTTCGTGGTTGCAGATGTCTCTATGCCAATCATTGGTATTGACCTGTTACAACACCACAATCTACTCATCGACACACGCGCACGAAGGTTAATAGACGGAAACACTAAGTTGTCCGTTTGCGTAACTCCTTGTTCTGGTTGCAGGTTATCCCCAGTCACGATTAAGCACGCCATAGACCCCTTGTACCAAGCAGTACTCGACAAATACCCCGGGATATACCAATCGCAATCGAAATTACCTTGTGTAACCAGCAATGTTACACATCACATCTCGACTACAGGACCACCTGTATTTTCGAAAGCCCGAAGACTCGCTCCCGAAAAGCTTAAGTTAGCTAAAAACGAATTCAACCACATGATGGACCTAGGAATAATTCGACCATCGAATAGTCCACGGGCATCCCCATTGCATATGGTCCCTAAAAAGGACAGCAATGATTGGCGGCCAACTGGTGATTATCGGCGTCTGAATGCTAAAACCATTCCCGATCGTTACCCGCTGCCTCATATTCACGATTTGACAGCTACCTTGAAAGGTACAACTGTCTTTTCGAAAATCGACTTGGTTAAAGCTTATAACCAAATCCCGATGGCAACTGACGACATTCCTAAAACCGCCATCATCACTCCCTTCGGTCTTTACGAATTTCTACGAATGCCTTTTGGTTTAAGAAACGCGGCTCAAACCTTCCAAAGGTTTATAGACGACGTCTTCCGAGGTCTCAACTTCGTACATGCGTATGTTGATGACTGTCTAATAGCAAGTCCGGATAGAGAATCGCATCTCAAGCATCTGGACATTGTTTTCGATCGACTTCAAAGGCATGGCATTACTGTCAACATTCAGAAATGCCAAATCGGAACTAACTGCTTAGACTTCTTAGGACACACCATTGATGCCCAAGGCATCCGACCCCTTAGGAGCAAAGTGGCGGCCATTCTGGATTACCCAGAACCGACCACGATCAAGCAGTTGCGAACTTTTAACGGACTCGTAAGTTTCTATAGACGGTTCATACCTAAATGCGCATCCCTAATGAAACCGTTGACCGATCAGCTTCGTGGAAATGCGAAATCAATTAGTTTAGACGACACAGCCCGTAAAGCATTTTCCACAGTTAAGGAACACATCGCTAAAGCAACCTTGCTTGCTCATCAGGACAGTCAAGCGCCCATTAGTATCGCCGTAGACGCATCCGACTCAGCAATCGGAGCAGTCTTAAAACAATGGGTTAACAACTCGTGGCAACCTTTAGGATTTTTATCGAGACGGTTGCTAGACGCTGAATCTAGGTACAGCACGTTCGGTAGGGAACTCCTAGCTATGTATTGTGCTGTACGGCATTTTCAACATTCCATCGAAGGAAGAGAATTCACGCTCTTTACCGATAACAAACCTCTTACCTTCTCCTTAAGTTCATCTTCAGACAAGTACTCACCGCGAGAGTCTCGACAACTTGACTACATTTCGCAGTTTACTTCAGACATACAACATATTTGTGGAGCTAACAATGTAGTCGCAGACGCCTTCTCTCGAATTAGCTCCTTGAACAGTTTCCAAGGAATCGACCTTCTTAAACTCGCTCAGCTTCAAAAAGAAGACGTTGATCTTCAGCATGAGTTATCCTCGACAACTCTTAAACTAAGTATTAGGCAGATGGGAACAGGTAAGGAAACCTTACTCTGTGACACATCTACAGGTAGGGATCGTCCAATTGTACCAAAACACTATCGCCGCAACGTCTTCAATACGTTGCACAATCTTTCTCATCCAGGTGCTCGTGCAACAATCGAACTTATAGCCGAACGCTTTTGTTGGCCTGGCATGAATAAAGACGTGAGGGAGTGGTCACGCTCCTGTGTAAGCTGTCAGAAATCTAAGGTAATCAGACACAACAAATGTCCCTTAGGTTCTTTCAAAACCCCTGACGCTCGTTTCGACCACGTCCATCTAGATTTGGTAGGACCCTTACCCGACTCGAACGGATACTCATATCTCCTAACATGCGTAGACCGTTTTACTCGATGGCCAGAAGCAGTACCGATTAAGGACATTACTGCTGAAACAGTGGCTCGCACTTTCGTCGAACGATGGGTAGCAAATTTCGGCTGCCCCTCAACCATCACTACAGACCGCGGACGCCAGTTCGAATCTGGACTTTTCCGTTGTCTGACCACACTTTTAGGAATCACGCGCTTCCGAACGACCGCCTACCACCCACAAGCAAACGGGTTGGTAGAACGTTTTCATCGACAATTAAAAGCTTCATTGTCAGCTTCAAACGTTTCACAGTGGACAGACGCTCTTCCACTCGTCTTGCTAGGTATCCGCAATGCAGTGAAAGCTGACATTGGATACACGGCATCTCAACTCGTTTACGGAACGACACTCCGACTCCCAGGAGAATTCGTGGATCCTTCAGCTTCTTCATTGAACATGGATCTAAACTCTTACACGAGTAGGCTTACAAACGCTATGCGTTCAGTTAAACCTGCTCACACTCGACCTCAATCAACTGATGTTTTCGTTCAACCCGAATTACGACATAGTACACACGTCTTCGTTCGTCGAGACTCACATCGACGACCCCTCGAATCAGCATACGAAGGATCCTTCAAAGTTCTTCAACGCGAACCTAAGTACTATGTAGTTGATAAGAACGGTACGAACGATAGCATCAGTATCGATCGACTCAAAGCTGCGTACCTAGAAGGAAACCCTAGCTACGTCGATTTTCCTTCGGTACAAGCAAACGACACAGCTACTACACTCGTAGTACCCTACACGACAACCGACACACAACTTGATACTTCGTCAACGTCGATAGAAAAACCTAAAACAACGCGTTCTGGAAGACGAGTAAGATTTCCAGAACATCTTAACGAATATTGCACGTAGGACATAAGCTTTATCTGGAATTACCCTTTCAACGTTTATTATAAATTTTTTTTTTAATACGCTCATTTTTTATTTATGTAAAAAAAACAACAAAAAAAACATTTTTTTTGAACGTATATATATATATATTTATATATTTAAAAAAA